CAGCAAGAAGGTCCTGGGTTCGAATCCCGGTTGGACCAGGGCCTTTCTGAGTGGAGTTTGCATGTTCTCCCCGTGTCTGCGTAGGTTTCCTCCGGGTGCTCCGGTTTCCCCTACCACTAAAAATATGTACAATAGGTCTGGCATGTGCCTCCTGTACTGGTGCCCCCACTCCCAAAAATAACAATTGTAAACCGCTTTGAGACTCCGATGTGCAGTGAAAAGGCGGTATATAAATAAAGATTACTTACTAGATTACTTACTTACCTACAACAGCCAAAATAATACCCCTATGGGAGTTCTGGAGATCAAGTTTGTCGTAGAGCCATGAAATTAAGAAAAAAATATATATTATGGCCCCGCCCTCTGACAAACAGGAAGCCCATGAATTTCACTGCAAATTATAATTATAATTTACTTTTTATGTAATAAAACCAAGGCATGTTATGCATTTATCTATTTTCTCAGGAAAACAACCATCTTTAAGATAAGAGTTCCTTTATTTGTCCCACAGTGGGGAAATGTTGGTGTTGCAGCACACATACAGGACAGTAGAAAGAGCACACAGGGAGCACACAAAATATACAAAACACAAAATAAGTAGTAGCTATGTTTCTCAACTAGCTTAACTTGACTAGCTGTAGATGCTGTAAATGCTTCAATACTAGTCAAAAAAATAATCATATATATATATATATATATATATATATATATATGTGGTAGTAGTAACTCACAATGTTAGAAGTATCGAATAATGTGTTTTCCTTTATATTTAGTCAGTTTTGGTTAAATCCAATATTATTTTTTTCCCCTTGTGAAACTCAAAAGTGACGTCAAAATATACAATACAATACAATACAATTTATTCTTGTATAGCCCTAAATCACAACAGAAGTCATCTCAGAGGAGTTAACAAAACCATTGAAATCACCAACACAGATCAGAGAATCAACAGTTAAAACACACAAAGAATATAGACCACATGTTGATAAATGTCCATACATGTTGTAGAATGTTAAAGTGTCCTGGATCATCACCACAGTCCTTCTAGTTGGACACTAACTGCCCAACAGACCCTCCTACATTGGCAAGGAAAAACTCATATCTTAATTATGTAAAAAAACAATATACAAAAAGATAATACCTATAATCTATATTTTTTCTGTTTGGCCCCTGATCAAAATGAGCTTGACAATCCTTGCCTTGAGAGCTTCTCCAAACTTTGACTAAACACTCTAATCATTGTGCGTGTATCTATTGTAGTACATACTGTACGCATAAAAGGAGCATCTCTAATTGGAGCAGTCTGGAAGAAGGTACAGTCCCCTTCTGGGTCCAGGGATGGTGCTGCTGCCGCACTGGGCCTCTCTGCGTCATCATCAGTCTGAGTCATCTCATTTTAATATGCTGCTGTGAGATGTGGTGAGGAGGTCCCAGAAGGGCCCACTCACAGACATGTGGTTAGCAGCTACTCTCGTACACTGCACATTAGAGGGATCACGCTATGGCCCTGGTATAGAACCGAGGTGATGTGTTCTCCCCCTTCATCTTTCACTTCTGTCACATTGGCTGAGTCTTTGGAGCACACATTAAGAGATTAGTCTGACATATGCACGTGAGCCTTCACACACCCAAGACCTCCACATGTGACTAACCAGAAGCCTTTGCATTTTGGGCTCCAGGCAGTATGTGGAGCCATGTAAACAATAAATGTAGTTTGAAATGCATTCATCTAAGGGTTGTTGCATCGGAAGTAACGCAACAACTAAATCTTTATTTCAGTTTTTTTCTACACAGTCTTTAGAAATCTTCTGACTTGACGACCTCTCACCCGCTGTCTCTCCACTAGTGATTTAGCCATTTGTTGAAATAGCCAAATCGGAACAAACCACGCTAAGAGTACACAGGAAATAGCATTACAGAGAATATTTTGTTATTTTCATGTTTTACTGGTTTCTGTACTGAATCTGTGAGTTAATGTGAGCTATGCATCGCAACAAAATTGGTTTATTTATTTTTTAGATACATTTTATACCAATTAAAAATCCGGACTGCGGATGCATTCTGTCAGTGCGGAGAGGTTGCAGCTATTAATGTTCATGAATAAGTCATTGGACAAATCAATGAATTTGGATATGGATTGGACCATGCCAAGTAGAGCTTATAGTTGAGAAGCTGAATAGGGCTTGTTTGTGGAAATGGGGCTAAAGTGTTGGGAGATGGGAAGTCATGCAAGGTTTTTTTTCTCCTTTTCTCAATAGCCAAGACCCTCTGGAGTATACCACCCCCATCTGTTCATCCATATAAACAGATGTCTCCTCCAGAACCAGCAGAAAGACGCATCACTCTCTGAGCACAATATTGGTAAGAAATCAAATGAGCTCTGCCTCGGGCTATCTGAGGAAAAATCAGGGAGTTTTGTGCATATAGTGCTTCTATACTGCAGGTTATTTTCTTTTATACAGCCAAACCTCACGGTGCCGTTCATCTTTTTATGTTCCGGTTATTGGAGGAATCAAGTTTTACACAACGGACAAATTAAAATGCGTATCCCTTTGTCTTAAACAGTGCAACTCTAACAATGAGGGCTAAGTTTTACAAACAGTCATGTATTTTATTGTATATAACTTTTGGGTTGCTATGCGTCATTATCAATCAACTTTGGGGTTCAACCAAGACCTGGGAAATATGTTTGAATTGTGATCTGATTCTGGTGAATTTGGATTAAAGGTTGTTTTTTCCCTTCATATTGATGTCCACTAAAGAGTTAAAGTTAGAAGTTTGTTGCAGAAAGATTAAGAGATCCTTTATTTACCCCACAGCGGGGAAATTTCAATGTTGCATCACAAGTTACAGAACAGTAAGAATGAGGAGGACACAGCAAAAGAACAACAGCTTTACTAATAAAAAAAAGAAGAAAATCTCTAACTAGCATCAAAGGACAAGTATAAAATCTCCTAAAACTTAATAATAATAAGGATTTGGTAAGATAAGAAAATACTTATGTTAGCATGGTTATGTTAGCAAGAAAAACAGCTACACCGCTCCTTTTTAAGGGATATATATTTTTCAAAATGGTTTAAAAAAAAATAAAAAGATTTGATCCCTTGAACTTGAAAAGAGCAGTACAATCCACGGTATCCACCTGCTCACTGTATCATTCGCATAGACCCTGTGACTTTCCCCCAATGGCACTGGGTTAGGCTAAGGGCTTTTCTATCTGGGAAACTCCCCTAGTGAACCGGGTCTGGCCCTGGGTAAAGGCAGGACCTCATGTGACCCACTTTGAGGGGTCGTTATAGCTCAAGCAGAATATTGGGACAAATGTGACTGAACCGTCCCGAGTTGTACCGGTGGAAAAGAGTCTAATTATACGTAACCTGCTCAAAGCCTGAACTGGCAGAGCACAAGGCAATTACCTCCACTCAGCCAGGCATTTACTGGAGGAACTGCAGCAGCAGCTCAGACCACCACTGCTCACTTTGGAATGAGCTATGGAACGACGGCCACCATGGAGATAGTTTACTGGTTGTGAATTTGTAGTACATTAAAATACTTCTTCAACATAGCAGCAAGAGTGGGAACGTGTTTTGTCATAATAAGAATAAGAGTTCCTTTATTTGTCCCTCAGTGGGGAAATTTCAATGTTGCAGCGCACATACAGGACAGTGGCCCTCATTTATGAAACTTGCGTACCACCAAATCAGGGTATAAATGAGGCGTACGCAGAACATTTACAATCTGGACGTGAGCGTACGGTACGCAAAAAATGTACGCCAGGTCAGGAGGTGGTGTAAATGTGTACGCTCATTTCAACCTTCATTACAACACACCAAAACACAATTTGGACAACAATTACCATTTTCACACTCTGGCAAAATTATAAGCTGCGTTTTCATTGAGCATCATGTGTCGTCTGCTGTTTCTTCGTTTTTAAATCTGACTTGTGTGCAGTATTATTTTGATCTGTATGATTTTTAAAATGTGAAGCGCTTTGTGATCCTGGACTGTGAAAGGCTCTATCCAAATACACTTTACTTACTTACTGACTTACGCAACAGGGATGTGTGACCCATCTATTGCTTTGTAAATATGTGGTAGGCCTGCATGCACTGTGTAATTACGCACTGCTATCTGTTTTTCCACATTCACATGTGATAAAGCAATGTTTTTTTTCATTAGATTTGTGTAAGCCTCACATAGACACACCGATGGACTATGGTCTTGCTCACTCCAAATGTCTCACTGCCCTCTCCACATGCAGCAGTTTATAGACAGGATGGCAACGCGCTTATTTCTTGAGCAGTGAGCAGCGATGAGAGGTCGCGCCGCATAACTCCTCAAATATTTGTCATTCAGAATTTTGGATCCAGAGTTTTTCAGTGAAATCCTGGACCACAACTTCACAAAAGCTTCTCATTCTTTCTCTCACAGATCGCTCCATTGCATACTCAAGATGCTGCAAACGCTTAATTCTGTTAATGATGAGAGCCACCGCTGAGGCTATTAATATTTATGAATTCATTCATTCATGAATTCTTTTCTTTTTCTATTTATTTACTTCTGCAATTCAAGAGAGATTTTTGTAATGTATCAAAAAAGTTTTGCTAATTTGTTCCAAGGAAACGCAGCTGAATACTGCGTGTATTTATTTTTACATAAACATGAACAAACAAACGTGCCACAGGCCTTTTGAGGCTTCCAAACAGTCTTTTTGGCCGACTTCCGTGCTGACCTGTCGTGAAAACGGTGTGTGAGACAGGCAGTTTCTGAATATTTATAGCCATGACTTTCGTAAATATGCTAGTTTTGGGCGTGGCATTTATCAACAGCCGCAGGTGCGTGTGTCAGGTGTGGAACAACCAATAACTGTTTAAAAATGAATATAAACAGGCTTAGACTTTAGATACTTTTATTAATAAATATGATTATAAAATGCCCTATGGCGCTAATTAAAATGGCCAATTAAGAGTTAAAATAAGACTAAGGGTCTTAAGGTCTGGTCAAAATAAAAGGTTAAGGAGGAGCTCTCTGCTGGGGCCGCTCTCTGCTGGGGCCGCTCTCTGCTGGGGCCGCTCTCTGCTGGGGCCGCTCTCTGCTGGGGCCGCTCTCTGCTGGGGCCGCTCTCTGCTGGGGCCGCTCTCTGCTGGGGCCGCTCTCTGCTGGGGCCGCTCTCTGCTCCGCTCTGCTGGGGCTCGGGCTGGGCTTGGCGCGCGCTGCTCCGCTCTGCTGGGGCTCGGGCTGGGCTTGGCGCGCGCTGCTCCGCTCTGCTGGGCCTCGGGCTGGGCCTCGGGCTGGGCCTCGGGCTGGGCCTCGGGCTGGGCCTCGGGCTGGGCTTGGCGCGCGCTGCTCCGCTCTGCTGGGCCTCGGGCTGGGCCTGGGCCTGGGCTCGGGCTGGGCTCGGGCTGGGCTTGGCGCGCGCTGCTCCGCTCTGCTGGGGCTCGGCCTGGGCCTGGCGCACTGCTCCGCTCTGCTGGGGCCGCTCTCTGCTGGGCCGGGTCTGCTGCTCCACTGGGGCTTGGTGCGCCACACCAGGGTAGCTGCTGAGAGAGCAAGCAATCAGGCGCCGGTCTCACGCGCACGCACACACACACAGAGTCTGGGGCAGCTTGTTCACGTCCCTGTAAGTACTCAGCTCGTCTGGCGTTATATACAGTGCTCCACTGAGCTGGATCCGCTGGGCCGGGTCCGCTGCTCCGGGTCCGCTGCTCCTTGGGCGGGGCCTGATGCGCCACGCCAATGCAGCTGCGGAGAGAGTGGGCAATCACGCTCCGGTCTCACGCGCACGCACACACACACAAACTGAGGCTGCTTGATCACGTCCCTGTATACTCAGCTTTATGGGGCGTTGTATGTGGGCTCTGCAGGTCTCTCCTTGGGGCGTGCTGCTCCTCGTGTGTGCTGCTCCGCGTGCGTGCCGGTCCTGGTCGGTCCTGGTGCGTGCCGGTCCTGGTGCGTGCCGGTCCTGGTGCGTGCCGGTCCTGGTGCGTGCCGGTCCTGATGCGTGCTGGTCCTTGTTTCCCCTTGTCCTCTGTCCTCGCCCCCCGTAACGCTTCCGATTTCCTTCCTCCTCTCAGTCCCTCTGTCCTGGTTTTAAAAAGGGGAAAGTCCTCCAGTCCGACCAATCAATCATGAGGGGGAGGGCTATCAATCAGGACTGTCCCAGGCTCAAGCCAAAGTCAGTATATAGAACTACTAAAAACAAGGTCACACTAAAAACACTACACTCAAATAACACTGGCTTTAGATTTGGAGTCCCAGGCTAAAATCTATGTTTGACACGTACGCTCAGATCTGTGCGTATCTCACACGTTCATAAATGCTGCGTTGACTCGTGCGTATTTGGAATATACACCCAAAATATGCACCCATTTTTGCTTTCATAAATGAGGGCCAGTAAGAGCTGTTGTGGAATTACATACCCCAATAAAGGAAAAAGCTGGAAAGGTATTTGTCTTAAATCAAAGATGTAAACACATTTATTTTACACATATATATGCGGAGAGCCGACATACAGTCTTGCATCGTGAGCTCTGCCGGGGCACAGCTACTGTACCAATACATATACTCAGGAGGCGCACAGCAGGGCCCCAAAACCGTGACGTCACATGGGCTGAGATTATCATGCAAACATCACCTTTTGTTTTAGCGCAAGACACAGGAAGGCCTTTGTCTTAGGTGTGAAAGGAGCAGCCAGCAGAGGCCTTTGCAAACTCAGCATGGCGTCAGACGGCCGTCTCTGCATTGATTAAAGGCCCAGTCGTCCGTGTATTTGCTGCGACTGGTTCTAATTTAATTACTCTAAAAACTGTCATTACACTCCCCTCTTTTGATAATTCAAAACCATTTTTGCATTAATCAGTTAAATACCAGAGACATCGTAATCACATCACCTTCAAGCTTAAAACACTTAAATTATTGCTGTCCAAAGTGGACAAGAAAAGAAACATGTTTGTCAGTAAAAGAAAGAGCACATTATAATAACACAATGGATCCGGACAGCGATAAGAGTGCGGACAGTGTGTCCAACATAATATGCCACGGGCCCATGCCGGTATTAGCCTGCTACGCGGGGGTTCTGTAGTCTTTTCCGCGGAAATGCTTCACGAGCGTTCAGGGGCACCGCTCCCTCTGAGCGTGTGTGAAGCGTTAGTGGTCATGGCGATGTTCGGTCTTGGAGCGGCAAGACCCTAATCGCGTTGGGGCTTTGGCCTCGGCACTTCGGGGTGTGACCTTGGGGTCCGGGGGCAAGGGAGATGGGACGTCGTGTTGTTCCTGGGGATGCGCCTCGGGAACGCTGGGATTCTCTGGGTGTTGTTGTTGTTGTGGGCCTGCTCCAGTGACGGAGTTCTCACGCCGGCCGGCCCCTTATGCTTAGGGAGCCGTGAATATGCCTGCTCCGTCCCGACCCTCGGTGTCCTCGTCTATGGCCCTCGGTGGCAGCGCTGCACGATAGTGGTTGGCGTGGATCCAAGCTGTCCTCTCTGCGATCTTTAGCGGCCGTGTCCGTCACCAGGAGGATGAGGATGGGATCCATGTTTCCGTCTTGTCTCCTTCACCAGGACCCAGTCGTATGGCTCGATCTCGTGCAGAGCCGCCTGCACCGCCTGTGGCAGGGCGCTCCTGACCTAGGCAGAAATAGATTACAGTAGTGCATTCATTTCTTTACAATAGGACAGCATGTCGTCATCACACAAAAGGTGCATGGCAGATCTCTAGGTCGGGGTCCCGCCCCAAGTTGGGCGGTCTGGCAAAGAGGGTTTCGAATGGGTTTAGGTTTTGACCTCAGAGTGCCATTCTCTCGCTCGCAATGTTTCCTTATATCAATGCCCAGAAAGTGACCTACTTCCTCAATAATTTTGCTACAAAGTGACTGCCATTGTCACTAGAAATTATATATTATTATAATTTTTTGTTTTTTTTTTTTTTTTTCTTTCCGGGACACCCCATTGTGGCACAATTTCTGTGAGCAGAGCTTTCACCACCGCGTTGCTCGTGGCGTGTTTACATGCAAATACTTCAGTCCATTTGGACCAGAGATCCACCAGAACCAGACAGACAGTATTTCTTACCTTGGCATGGTGCGATGGGGCGGGGCATGGGCAGCCTAAGGAATAATTTGGAACTTACCCGGGTTCTGTGCCAAAGGTTTGGCAGAACCTCAATTGTGTGTAATTTAAGTTACACATCCCTCCTTTTCAGGCATGGTCTCGGCCATGTGCTAAAGGCACAAAGTCTCTGAAGAAATGCTGTGGCAAACCCGGTTTGAGGTTTACCCAGCAACCCACCAAGGCCATTTTTCGCCCACAGCTCCATCTCGTCTGGAGTAGCCAGTGCCTGCATATGGGCAGAGGCAGGTATGCCTTGTCTGCCTTGTCTGCATTCGCCCGCTGCCTGCTCACGAGCCCCAGCGACCGCGACCAGCTTGTGCTGAATGGTGTTTGGGCAAAACAATATAAAAATCAGAACACACAACATAACAGACTCGGTTGTAAAATTGTCGACACTCGTATGTTCTCACACTTCCAGCAGCCGGTCTGTACCTGTGGAATCCTGCTCCAAAAGAAACAGCAACGGTTCGTTAGTTTCAAGTTATTCAAATGAAACAATGGTGTGTTATGTGTCAGTTTGTTAGTGGTTAGTTGTCATTAAATGCACTGCTCAGCCTGTTGAAAAAAAAGGAAAAGCAAGAATCTATCCAGAATTTATCCAGCGGACACAGTTATCCTGTGTCCGCTGCGGGTCGTGTTTGTGGTCATATGCCTGTAAATAAATGACCAGAAACGCACATCAAATATACACACACACACAACGATCAACTGGGACACACAATGACATCAACACAAACAAAAACGCTTGCGCAGTAAGTTGTCAGGTCAGGTCAGAAAGTCATTGTAAAAAAAAAATGTTTGTTCAGGCCATCAAATTTCATATCTTTTCATATCTTTCAGCCCAGAATTTGTTGAGCGCTCTTATTTTGAAAGCGTGATCGTCTTTCACCCATCCGTTCCACTAGTGGAGAAAAATAAGACACCACCGCAGTGCAAAAAGGAAAAATAAATAAATCAAAATGTCAAAAACCACAACCCCAAAACTACGTAAAAAAGTAAATTCAAAAGCATTAAAACAATAAGGACCTGAGTGACCAACGTCATGCACTATTGTGATTGGCTTTTTGCCCCACAAGAGTGTGATAAAAATAAGTCCCATTTTGATTTCACCATGTTGATTGTTCATTCTTTGTTTAATTCAGTTTAGAAGATCAGCTTTGGCCAGCCAATTTAGAAAATAAAAAATTGTTTCAACCCTCTGATCATGTTGAATTTAGGTATGCATTTTGGCATCTGTCCATCAGATTATGAAACAGATCTCCGTTGGGATAAAATTGTAACCCTTCACACCGTTTGTTAGGGTTTATCTCTTTGTTTTTGTTTTTTTGCTTTTATGCAAACTTGGTGGAGAGTCAAAGGCACTAAAACACAAGATTCAAACCAGCATGTAACTCCTTAATGTACGGTTTCATTCAACCCAAACAAGTGGCAAAAATCCAAAAAGCCACTCCAATTTTATCAGGCCTATTCAAAATCCTTCAGTGGGACCGTGTGCAGCCCCGGCGTGGTCGCTGCATACGGCGCTGGCAGCATGACCCCCGCCCCCCGTGGGGCTGAAGTGATGCTGTCAGGGCCAGAACACACATTTCTTCCTGCGGCCAGAGAAAATAAAAAAAAAAAAAAGGGCTTCTCCATGCGTTTGCATTTCTGGAGAACCACGAGTGTCCATCTTGGACCTGTGTCCAGCCTCCAGCACTGCTACACTTATTAATACATGCAGGGACCTCCCTCCACGCTGCAGACGTGGGTTCGGACAAAACTGTGTGCAAAGTGGAGCACAGTGGGTCGATAAACACGTTAGGTAATACCGCGGAGTCGTGCCTATCCCAATAAACGTACTCCGTTAGCCTATCTTCACTACACTGAAGCCATGAGTTTTGTGAAGCGACCACTCATTTGAGAAAGGACCAAAATCTGTCACCTTATGTTTTGTTTTTAACACAGGATTTGTTGTCCCTGAATCATCCAGAATTTTAACTTTTACACCACAGATTGTTAGCGTATATTACGGGAATTCAGCATGAATTATCTCTAAAAAGTGCCAATTGCAATTTGTTCTTGTTCAAACTTACGTGACATGAGCGGTCGCTTTGGTGACGAATGTGAACCCGGGTTTGATCAGTCGCTCGTGTTTCCTCCACGCCCGCCTCTGCCGTCCTCTGGCCCCGTGTGAGCTTGAGCGGTCCTCTGCCTTTAACGCCTCCTCCGGTAACAGTCCTTCGACACATGTCGAGCACACAGTCTTTCCGCCGGGCTGTGGAAAAGCTGCCGCCAGTCCGTGACACATGTTCCTGCGCGCTCCGCAGCACCGTAGTCCTGGCTCTGGCACCTATGGCTTAAGTTTCTCAAAGTCCGCAGGAGGCCCAGGTAGCCCAAAGCGTTCAAATAACGTTAGCCTGTGGTCCATGAGGGTTGGTTAATAACCAAACGTGCCGGTCCCAATGGCTTCTTCTGTTTGCGGTGCGGGGGCAACTTTCAACGGGGTTTCAGCGGGTGCGTTTGGTGTTTCACGCTGCCGCCTCCGTGGGGCAACAGTCACGGGATTTGGAGCAGTTTGTCTCTGGCCTCCAAAGCAGTTGTCGGTGTCTCACATAATGTGTCCACGGAGTGAGTCGTGAGCTTCGGTTTCCTGAGCGTGTATCTGCTTCCGCCGCTTCTTCTTCTGCTCCCGGGTTTGGGCCCACTTCTCGCGGGGTATCAGCTGGTGCGAGAGACTCTGTGAGTCGCCGCCGTGGTTGGGGCGTGGGGCTGGTGCTTGGGGCTTTGAGGCGGAGGGCAGGGCGCGGAGGAAAGCGCCGACAGACCTGGACAGGGAGAGGAAAAAGGGGACAACAGTAGTCTGCTCATTTTTTAAAAACCCAACGCCTTGTTTGGGTGCGCACTTATTGTTAGTAGGGGAGTTTGGGGAATATTTCTCGGGGCTGATCGCCTTACGCGTTCGCCTGTGTGTTCTCCGCTTCGGTGAAAAGCGGAGGAGCTATTGTTTTTACATATTTCTTTCTCTAACGTCTTTTGCCGTGATATTCTTAAAACCAAGTAATATTTCCCTTCCTTCTTCTAATTTTCACGCAAGACGCGTAATCGATTGAAGGACATAAAAAAAAAAAAAAACCTCCCTCCGGAAGATCCGAATGAGCAGCACATAATTTGTGCAACCGTTTTTCCATTGCCATTGTTACGGGACGTCTGAATCCCTTTCTAGTGTACTTCCCTCCATTTTCTCTTAAAGAACAAATGGATCTAGCCCGCTTAGTCTCTCCCTGCTCTTCCTCACTCTGGAGCGATCCGTTCCCCCCCCGTTAGTTCAATACACCTAACGGGCGCGCATTCTTGAAACGGACCGGGCCCGGCTGAAGGCACAAAGAGTTCAGGGTTGCTTACAGAGCAATACTAACACGCAGCCGCTAGCTTAAATCTCATACCCTACACAAATGGCAATGAACAAAATACCCCAAAATACGTAAATAAATCAAATACCCGTGTACACTTAAGCGCTGCCCTGGGCTTTACATGTTTGAAAAGACAAAACTCACCACAAATCAGGTTCTTTTTGGTCTTGTGTGGCCAAAGATTCTTTTCATGCGCCGGACGAGCGCGCCCTCCTTTCGTCTCCAAATAGAGCGGAGGCTGGTTTTGTTCCAGGTCGGCCGAACGCACCCGCTCGTCCCCGCCGAAAAAAACCCAGGCCAAGACATGCCAGCAACGCCAAACTGTTGTGGAATTACATACCCCAATAAAGGAAAAAGCTGGAAAGGTATTTGTCTTAAATCAAAGATGTAAACACATTTATTTTACACATATATATGCGGAGAGCCGACATACAGTCTTGCATCGTGAGCTCTGCCGGGGCACAGCTACTGTACCAATACATATACTCAGGAGGCGCACAGCATGGCCCCAAAGCCGTGACGTCACATGGGCTGAGATTATCATGCAAACATCACCTTTTGTTTTAGCGCAAGACACAGGAAGGCCTTTGTCTTAGGTGTGAAAGGAGCAGCCAGCAGAGGCCTTTGCAAACTCAGCATGGCGTCAGACGGCCGTCTCTGCATTGATTAAAGGCCCAGTCGTCCGTGTATTTGCTGCGACTGGTTCTAATTTAATTACTCTAAAAACTGTCATTACAGAGCACAGATGGAGCACACAAAATATACAAAGTAAGTAGTAGCTATGCTTCTTAACTAGCCTAACTAGTAAATGTAAATGCTGCAAATGCTTCAATACCAGTCAAAAAAAAAGAAATGTTTTTTTTACTTCAATTGCTTTTTATTACAAACATCTCAATGTTTTATTTTTTCTATTTTTATATCAATTAACTGGTGGGTTTTTTTTTCAAAGAGTGGATTGGACTGGAATTATACCTCAATAAATTGAAACTGTTGAATCTTCTATTCTCATGCTCCAGAAAGTTTATTAACTCACAGTACAGTAACATTTTTGGGCCAAGTCCTTTGTCAGACAAAAATGTAAATTCAGTGTTGAGAAAAAAGTATCCAACCAAAAGGATGTGAATTATACTATTCATATTTGCAATCATCACAAGACAGAGGACAACCAGCAGCAATAACACCCAGACTGCAACAAGCGTAGACAGAAAAGGGCCTAAAAGGAGATATTTTATAGATAATGTTTTTTTCTATCTTATTAGCTTTTTGCACCATTATTCCATAAGTAAAACAGCCCTGGGTTTGTTTTTTAGCCATCCTAATATAAATAACTTCTGCCACAGGTACATTGCCTTGTCTCTTTCTTAATTGGTCAATTTAGAAAAAAAATACCTGAAAAAACAGTCCAGCCGTGTGTATTTTTATTTTTATTATTTTTACTTTGAAAATCAACGTATGCAAACAAATGTGACTGAAACATTCAACCATGTTATACAAATGCTCTAAAAAATGTTGAGGTGCTTTGTCACTTTGGTATAATAATTGTAATTTCACCTGAGATTCTGAAACATGATGTCCTAGTG